AACAGCACTGAGAAACCCGTGAAAAGTGTACTTTCGTCGTTTCGCTTTCTCATTATTAAAGTGAATAAATCGAACTGTTTGTTGCTAAGATGATTTCGGTGGTCCTAAAATGATAATGGGCTGCACGTAAGGAAACGTATTTAATGATTCTCTCGAATATCCTGGTAAATACACTTTGACTTAAGTAACAATAGGGGCCACCAAACGACGTATAATAACTTTTGACTCAAAAACCAGTATTTCTTAGCATGAAAGCTAGCGATTTGCCTTTGTATGATTAAAACCCGGCTAAATATGTTAAACATTGTCATCAAAACAAAACTTTATTTTTCTCGGATCGGTGCGAATGTTACTTACGACATAATGAAAATTTGCTCTTGAAGTCGTTTATGCATTTGATACACTGTAAAAAATTATATTTTTTTTTACAAAAAAAAAATCAAAATTATCAAAAACAAAAATTAAAATTACTCAAATTGCCTATTTTTTTAAATTATTTTTTTTTTAATATTTATTTTGTAGTTTAGATAAAGTGATACCTACAGACACTGTGCATTTGCTGGGTAAATCATAAACAAAAAAGTTATGAATTATTAAAAAAAAATAAGTATTTTCCAAAGTACGATAACTATTGGTAGTAATATCTTTAAAATAGTGTTAATATTAAAACACATCAAATTTACAACAAAAAAGCTCATAATGCTTAAATTGCCCAAAGTTGTTATTTTTGAAATACTCGTTGGTTAAAATTCACAAAATTGAATTCCCCCGAGGCGACGTGACCAAGAGGGGGAGGTGGCTGTCAAATACGAACAATCGTCCCCTACCTCGCAAAACTGGTTCCAAACGTTAACAAGCCATAAGAAACCTACAGGGTTTGTTTGCGTTTGGAACCAATTTCATACAAGAATGATCAGTAGGCTGATTTGACAGCACCCCAGGACGTGACGCCCCACGCGCTTTTGTGTAACGGCCCTCACACCGACACTTATTTTGACAATCGTAGGTGTCTAAGTGTAGGTTATTTCATTATGTGCAATTTGTTCTTGGTGCTATGTAGTGGTTGTTTTCGGACAATTCAAATTCTAAAAAATGGTGAAAGTTGCAATGAAAGGAAAGAGGAACAGAATTGTCATGAAGTTTGCTACAAAAGCAAAAATTTTGCAAGATCTCGACAGAGGACAACTTATGATCGAAATAAGGCGGACGTATAACATCGCTGAATCGACTGCATACGACCTAAAGAAGAACAAGCTGAAAATCATGGAACAGATCGCACATCGTCAACTTCGGATGGGTAAGCCTTTTGAAATTTATGCGATGCACATGTTCTCATATAAATTCATAATCTGCAGACAAACGGAAAACCTTCAAAAGGGCTAAATATCCTCTACTCAACGAAGCTCTGTACATTTGGTTTCTTCAGAAACGTGAATGCCATATCCCTGTTAGCCAGGATATGTTGACGGTTCAGGCAGCGAAACTGTACGGAAAGTTGTACAACGATGAGAAGTTCAAAGGGAGCCGTGGATACATTGTGAATTTCATAAAACGACACAACATCAGGTTTCTGAAAATAACGGGAGAGAAACTTTCTAACAATGCTGCAACCGTTGATTCGTACATTGAACATTTTGCAACCATCGCTAAGCACCTATCTCCGAGCCAGATTTCCATCGCGGACGAGAGTGGGATTTATTTCAAATGTACTCCTTTGTCAACATATGTCACAATGGACAAATCATCAGCTCCAGGAAGAAAGGGGAACAAGGAGCGTGTGACGTTTATGCCTTGCGCAAATGCCGATGGTTCGTTCAAACTTCCGCTTATGATGATTGGAAAGTCAAAACGACCAAGAGCATTGAAGAACGTCCATGAGCTGGCCGTATACTATGCTTCGTCAAAAAATGCCTGGATAAGGATTGGTTTTTGAAGGAGTTTGTTCCTAAGGTAACGGCAGTTTTGGAAGGTACTAAACTGCCGGTAAGGGCCGTCTTAGTGTTGGACAACTATTCCGCACATTGCAGCACCGACGAGCTTAGAACTGCAGATGGAGCAATCTCTACAATCTTCCTACCACCACAAACGAAGTGATAGACGACTAACTGGCGAAGAAATCAATTAAAATAATGTGGTTCGCTGTAATAGAATTTTCTTAGAAGCATGTGCCATCAGCCACCAGATGGGCTAGAATTTTTGTTTTGATATGATCATAGTTGATTTTGTGTGCAATATGATCTTTGACAGTGTGCAAAGAGTGTATCATTTTGTCATTTTTTATGCATTTCAGTTTAGAGTAGAGTGAAGAAGATAGAACCAAAACATTCTAGTACATTTAGTGTTGCCATGTGGTTCAATCCATTAGTAGTGTTGCCAAGTGGTACAATCCAGTAGTAGTGGTGTTGCCATGTGGTACACTGAAAAATTGCAATAGCAGGTGCGTCACCAAAGTTTTCGAGCCGCTCCGTCTGTCACTTCGTTTGTCCTACCACCTAACACAATAGCCTTGTTGCAGCCAATGGACCAAAACGTCATCCAGATGGTCAAGTCCAACTACAAGCAAAAGCTTATGCGTGAGCTTGTTGGACGCCAAGGAGAATTCGATGACATGGTCAAGAGAATCAACATCAAGGATGCTATGTTTTGGGTAGCCGAGGCTTGGGACGAGGTACCGGCTGATTCCATTGCCAAGTCATGGAAAATTCTGAACAGGCGGTTGTACGAGAACGTTTACTTTCGATTCAGCAGAAATTGATGGACCAGGACAATACCGTACACGAAGAGGACGTAGAGTTTGACGTCCTGAACAACGATGATATTGTGAACATCGTTTTGCACCCGAACACATCGTTCTACGACGGCAAAAATACGTTTTCAACTGTCGAGGGAGCAAATGCTTCATCAGTTTGGGAACCACACCAGATTGATGTGGATGACGAATCTGAAAATTGTGTTTCCAATTAAACAACTTTATCGGGAATCGATCAAGTGCTTGGACAGAGAAAAACGGACTTTCATTGGAAAGCCAGTTCCTGCTGCGAGAAGAACGTAGAAATGTCCTAGAGAAAATAATTGATTCACGGAATGTAAATGTTTGATTTTTATATCTTTTGCTTTGTTATTTTTATGCATATCACTACTCAAAAAGTTATTTTTGTTTTTCCTGAAATAAATTGATTTACTGAATGTAAACGTCTTGATTTTTTTTTCATGCTTTGTTACTAGACGAATGAATTTGTTTTATTCTTAAATAAACAATAAGTTGCCTGACAAGTTTTACTAGTTTATTTAACCATGATTATTGTATTGAAAAAACCGCGAGGCTCTAAGACCAATTTCATGAATTGACCACTGTTACGGTAGTTCCGGGTCTTCCAGAGGGTCACCCTGTGGTGTTCAGAGTCCTTATTCCGAATATAATTCACGAAGAATGTCACTATTGAGTCCTGCAATCAATAAAATACCATCAACGAGTATGGAAAACAGTTCACCTCAAACGAAACTAGTTGAATTCTAAAATCGGGTCAAAAAGCTGACAAAATCGGATCACCACTGTATTCAAATTATAAATGAATATAAAATAAATATGTTCATTTGAATTAATTAATTTTTATATACACTGCAGATAACCGAGTTTCAATATACAAAATAACGCCTCTTTCAGCCCCTCGTTTTAGCTACATCCAATATTGTTAAAATAATCATTAAATATCATATTATAAATTATTTTAAATGTCTGCATAAAAAAAAACGCAAGAAAATACTTCGGATAATCGAATTTAAAATTTCGGATAATCGAACCCCGGATAATCGAGTCCGACCTGTAGTACTCATTCATTTTTTTTTTCTTTATTAAAGAGATTTTTAGCCATAGGCTAGTTCATCTCTTAGTACTCATTCATGACGATTACTCTTTACAGCTAAAATAGCTAATTGTGACACTCTGAAAGCAAAATTGACTGGTTTCATGTGTCATACACAAACTTTACCTCCTCTACTTGCATCTTACATATACAAATTATTATTAAAATATCTCATAGTTTCATTATTTAGAAAAGTAGTATTTTAACTGTAATGAGTATGTTCAGGCCTACTGCTCAGTGTGGACAGCGCTTAAAATGGCTTCATTACACATTCAACCACATAAGCACAACACTATACCGATAACCGATAAATCTCTGGCTCACCAAAAATTCAAAAATCTATCGTTTTAAATGGTGCTCGTGTAGCCGTTTTTTTCTAAAATTTAATAACAGCTGTACGCTCAATTTTAAGATTCACTGTCTATTTTTTTGCGAAACAGGGGAAATGGCTCTAATGTTGGCCTATGGATCTAAGATTGGGCCCATCGCTAAAAATTAGCTATTTATTAATTTTATCTAGATGAACGCGACATTGGGATGGATATTTTTGGTCGCTATTGAAAATTTAGTCGATTGCTGAATTTATGTATGGGCCCAAATTAGGGACATTTAGGCCGACATTACATCAATTTCCCCTATCGCTTAAATCACGCGTGTGAACGGTGTGAACTCGTTAACAAGTTTTGCAGCTCAACATTATACGAGAGACAATTATAATTCAGCTTTGTGTGTGGAAACGAATAGGTTCTCTAAACATGTTTTCTCAAACGTGTTTTCTTCATCACGAAGCTTGAAGAGATTGTAAATAGCAAACTTAGTTTATCTCTTTGGGAAGTTTTGGCAAAAAAACAAAAGTGGAATTTGTCAAATCGATAGAAGTTAATCAAAAACGTAGATAGCGTTGTATTTCCGTGTAAGCGAATCATGTGTCGAAGTCTCCGGAATCTTGATCGCTGTTCTTGGTGAACCGGTATAAGGAAAAATCACCGAGCTCATCATAATTTCAAATCTCAACAACAGATCAACATAATCCGAGTAAACACTAAGAAAAACCCAAATAGAACTGGTCTGTTGTGATCGTTGACCTTGACATTCGTTCGTTCTAATGTATCTACAATTAATGGATTGAATTATCACCTTTCAACACTGCGCTGCTTGGTTGCAGCTGAACCAGCAGTAGGACCACCAAAACTCCACCAACGGTCATCCAAGCTGGCGCCGACACCTGTGGAGTGCATCTTCTTGCCATCACGTCACTATGGCAGTTAGCGGATATTTTTTAATCCAAGCAATCTGAGTCGTTTCTCCTTTCGTCGTTAATCGCAGTTAATCACTTAATGTTACGACACAGTTTACGATGCACTTTTGTTTGCTTCTCACATTAAATTAGCGTTGCACCTCAATGGAAGAACCACTATTTCAGGGTGTCGATCGTTCGTAAACACACGCACATTCAGTGTGCTATCGATACTTTGTTCCGGTAGCGACGAACTTCTTTTCCGAACGGCTGTCCAGTCTCGACTGAATGAACCCAACTTCCACTGCGACACGGGCGCATCCGAGGACCATATAGGGTTTTTGATCTTATTTCTGGCCTACTAAGCACAACACGCGCTTTGTCTCTCTTTTTTTTTCGAACGGATCTGGACACACAATTTGAATGTTTCGTATCTGAGTGATGCGGAGTCGATCACTTTCAATTTTCAAGTTATTTAGCTTGAAAAATATTGCCTTTTTTTTACATCCTCTCAACACCGCTCACAAATTGGCACCTTTTCCAGGAGCAAAAATTAGAACTCGTGACATTCTCATTTTTTATTTACAATTACTTGATTGAGCCAATATTTTCCTCTACCTGATAGTGGTGTTAGTATGCGTTACCAGTTGCACCAAATCGTCGATAAAATGCATTATTTACAAAAGCGTCCCTTCGAAAAAGTAATCGAGATTTCTCGTTTCTTGAAAATCAGCTGTTTTTGACGTAGACTACGTCTTACGGGAAGGTATTGAAAATCTAAAATTGCGAGCGTCACGAAAAGGTGTAAAGTTTTGAACGCTTATAACTTTATCATTTATAGATGTAATTAAAATCCAAATACACCAATCGATAGGAAATAACTCTCAAAATCTGCTACAATAAATGATTTTTCAATGTTCCATTAAAAAACTGTTGAAAAATGTACAAATGAAAAGTGATAATTGTTGGAGTAAATCGGTAACGCAGTGTGCTGATCACCTCCTTGGAGACCGAACGTCACCCCTAGCAACCTAAGTTTTCTTAAATAAACAACGGTGAAAAACTTTTCATTCCTGTTCAAGACTCCACTCAAGCTAGTCGTTAAATAAAATCCATTCTACTTTTAAACTTTGCTGTTCCGGTTCTTTCTAACAATCAAGAGGTTATGGGCGACTCACGCAAGGATTTGGTCCACGGGATGCCGCAGTTCTCGGGCACCGGTTTCGACAATTGGCAATTTCGAGTGGAGAAGTATCTGAAGTCCGTGAAGCTGTTGGATATCATCAAGAAGGATCCTCCGATGGAAGCGGCCGAGCTCACGAAGTTCCAGGAAGATGACGGTAAGGCGGCGTTCCTGCTGACGTCATTTGTTCATGACGATTTGCTGCATTTGGTGCGGGACAAGGAGACGTCCAAGGAGATGTGGATGAGCCTTGAATCCGCCTACGCCAAGAAGTCCGTCTCGTCGCAGACATTCGTCAGGAAGCAACTTGCGAAGCTACGAATGATGGAAGGTTCGTCTGTGAAAGATCACCTGAAAACCTTCGAAGAGCTGATCCGACAACTGAAGCTGGCCGGAGCGAAGCTTGAAGAGAACGATATTGTGTCCCAGCTGTTTGCTACCCTTCCCGAGTCGTTCGATCCGTTGGTTACGGCACTGGAAAATCTAGGTGAGGAAAACCTAAAACTGGATGTTGTTCGCGAGCGCCTTCTTGCCGAGGAGCTCAAGAAAACCGACCGGGCAGCGGATTCCTGCCAAGAGAAACCTGCAGCATTCCAAGGATCGAAGCAGAAGCCTGGTAAGTTCACCGGAAAGTGTAACCGTTGCCAGAAGAAGGGGCACAAGGCCAAGGACTGTCGTGTGAAGTTGAAGACATATGGGCGCGCTGAAGCTAACGCTGATGATGGAGGTAAGGCGGTGGCTTTTATGACCGGGAGATGCTCCCAAACAAAGGACGAGGGAGCAGTTTCCTTTAAGCTGGATTCCGGAGCCTCGGACCACCTTGTGAATGTGAAGCACTGTTTCGCCGACCTCACGAAGCTGAAGCACCCTGTCGTCATAAACGTGGCGAAGGATGATCAATCCCTGATTTCCCGGCACAGTGGCACGATCAACGGCGTCAACAAGGAAGGTAACTATATCAGCTTGAAGAACGTCCTCTTCGTACCAGATCTTCGAGCGAACTTGCTATCTGTGAAGAAGATGGCAAAAGCGGATCTTGATGTCACATTCACGAAAAAGGAAGCGATCATGAAGCAAGGTCGTGACCTGATTGCGAGATGTCCCATGCGGGGCGATTTTTACGAGCTCGATCTCCGTGTCGATACGGTGGCGGTCAACATGTGTGGAGCTGTGACTGGTAACCTGTGGCATTGTCGACTGGCTCATTTGGGGAGCAAGAGTTTGCAGATACTCGCGAAGCATGGCATGGTAACAGGTATTCCCGAGAAACCAGATAAATTGGATTTTTGTGATGTTTGTGTTCTCGGAAAGCAGTGCCGAGAACCATTCACGGGTACTAGAGTCCGTGCAAGACCTCTAGAACGAGTGCGGTGTGCGGTTCAATTACACCAGCGGCTTGGAATGATTCTCGGTACTTCGTCACCTTTATTGATGATTACACGCACTTTGCAGTAGTATATCCCATCAAGAAGAAGTCCGAGGTGTTCCAGAAGTTTCGAGAGTACGAGGCCATGGCGAGTGCCGCTCTGGGACATTCGATTTCAAAGCTGACTGTCGACCAAGGGCGCGAGTATTGCTCCAATGACCAGCGTGATTGGTACGTTTCCAAGGGGATCCAAGTCGAGCCAACCGCAGCGTACACACCACAGCAGAATGGAGTGTCCGAACGGTTCAATCGGACAATCGTCGAAAAGGTGCGTGCGATGCTGATTGAAGCCCAAACTCCGAAGAATCTGTGGAATGAAGCGGTTCTAGCGGCGGTATACCTGACGAACAGAAGTCCAACCACCGCGGTATCTGATTGGAAGACTCCTGCGGAAATGTGGACTGGTCACAAGCCGGACGTTAGTAAACTACGTGTGTTCGGCTGTAAAGCATTTGCTTGGGTGTCCACGGCACAGAGGAAGAAACTGGATCCGAAAAGCAAGCCTGCTGTGATGATCGGCTATGCGCCGAACGCCTACCGCCTGTGGAACAAAGAGAAGAAGCAGTTATTCCTAGCCAGAGATGTCAAGTTCGATGAAAACAGTTTTCCGTTTGCCACCCAGATCCGTGACGAAACTCCTTTGGTTGTTGCTCCGTACGAGTTCGAGGATCAAGATGAGGAAGACGTGCAAACCCCTGAACAGTCCGTTCAACCCGATGAGCCGCTGGTGGCTCAACATGACGACATCCTGACTGATGATGAAGAAGGCGAGGTTGAAGACGACGGTGTTGAAGAAACCGGAGCGCTCCCTTCGCAACTAGACCGTGGTTCAAACCTCGAAATGGAAACCCCGAAGCGCAGCGAACGGGAGCGCAGACTCCCCGGTAAGTTGAAAGAATTTCTGGTTGGAAAAATTTTCACTGCCGCGCAATCCCATTCTGCAGATGTTCCCCATAACGTTTCCGATGTACTATTTGACGGTTCCGTTGGACGAGATGAGGCCGAGCGTTCGATCTTCGATGTCCCGGAGGCGTACAAGGAGATCGCTGGACGAGCCGACGAAGCTCTTTGGCAGCAAGCGGTCCGTGAGGAACTGCAGTCGCTAGCGGACAACCATGCTTGGCGATTGGTGAGATGCCCTGCTGGTGTGGTTCCGCTCAAATCGAAATGGGTCTTCCGAATCAAGCCGGACGAGCATGGCGAACCGATCCGTTACAAGGCGCGCTTGGTGGCGAAGGGATTCCAACAGAAGCCCGGAGTCGACTACAACGAAACATATTCCCCCGTAGCAAAGTTAGCCACGATACGAACCGTTCTTGCTGTAGCAACCCACCGAAGGATGCACGTTCACCAACTCGATGTGAAGACCGCATTCCTCTACGGTGAGCTTGAAGAAGACGTCTACATGGCCATACCCGAAGGAGTTGCAGCACCGCCGAACTTCGTTTGCAAGCTGGATCGATCGCTGTACGGACTCAAGCAAAGCCCCCGCTGTTGGAACAACAAGCTAAACGACCTTCTACTGGATTTCGGCTTTACCCGTTCCCGGCATGATTACTGTCTATATACCAGGATCGACGATCGAGGGGGGGTATACATAATCATCTACGTGGACGATTTGCTCATTGCTGGCGATCGACTGGACCTGGTGAAGGAGATCAAGCGTGCTCTTTCCAAGAAGCTCCAGATGACGGATTGCGGCGTGGTTAATCATTTCCTTGGAATGAAGATCCGATACGACCGCGCCACCGGATGCATGTACCTGGCGCAAGAAGCTGCTGTGGACCGTGTGCTGACGAAGTTCGGCATGCAAGACTGTAACCATGTCAAAACCCCAATGGAGAAAGGCTGTTTCCTGCCACCACAAGCTGCGAATCCTGTGTCGCATCCATACCATCAATTGCTGGGCAGCCTGATGTATACGATGCTGTGTGTTCGACCGGACATATGCTACGCTGTTGGATACCTAGGGCGCTTCCAAGTTCAACCTGATGAGGCCCACTGGCAAGCCCTGAAGAGAGTGGTCCGTTACGTGAAGGGAACGAAGAACTTGAAGCTCCAGTACAAGCAAAACGACGACGCCGAGGCACTTGTCGGGTACGCAGACGCTGACTGGGCATCGGATGCTGAGCATAGGAAATCCGTTAGTGGCTTCGTCTTTAAGGTCTTTGGGAACACCGTGTCTTGGGCAAGCCGCAAGCAACAAACCGTTGCACTGTCGTCGTGTGAAGCCGAGTATGCAGCTTTAAGTGCCGCGGCCTCCGAAGGGCTGTGGCTGCACGGAATCCTTGAAGACCTGAAGCAAGTTCGACCGGACACGGCATTCAAGGTGTACGAAGACAACCGTGGGTGCATTGCAATGGCCACAAACACCGAAAGCAAGCGTGTCAAGCACATCGATGTAAAGCACCATTTTTTGCGCGACCATGTGGCACAAGGAAGACTTCAAATCGAAGCAATTGATACAGCAAACCAAATAGCGGACACGTTCACCAAGCCCCTGGAACCTGGACGTTTCCGCGAACTGAGGACCCTCCTAGGACTGACCGATTCAGGGGGGGTGTTGGAGTAAACCGGTAACGCAGTGTGCTGATCACCTCCTTGGAGACCGAACGTCACCCCTAGCAACCTAAGTTTTCTTAAATAAACAACGGTGA